AGGGGGGTGCCCGAGATCAATTGATATTGTCATGAATTTCAATATAGAAATCTAGTTTGAGCAAGAGTTTTACGGCACTTCAAACACAAATCAGAAAACAAAGAAAACACTTTGTCAGACATAGGAAGTGAGGACGACTGATAGTTGATCGGGAAAGGGGGAGGAAACCACACCAGAGCACCCGCCAGCAACCCACAGAAATAATAACGTTATGATATAACAGGCACCAGGGAGAGAGAGAAACTGGGTCGGGAAGAGAGAGAGAGAGACTGGGTGGAGAAGAAAGAATGAGAGAGAGACACCAAGAATAAGCTGGAAACAGAAAAGAACAAACATGGCACTACTAACACAGTTCGCTAGTCTCGTGACATTCTTGGATTTCTTTCATCGATAGGATGAGCTTTAACTAAACTACCCTAAAGAAGGCGCCAAGAATCGTAACCATTGTTTTAGCTTTAGTAAGAGTTGTAGGACATTTGCAACACAATAAGGTCATATAAGTGACGAAGATTAGGGGTGTTACAAGAGAGTAACAAAACATAAAAAGGAGAAGGAGAGATCAGGACGATAGATGTTTGATAGGAAAGAAGGAGCAAACCACACCAGAGCACCCGCCAACCACCCACAACCCTTTTCTAAGACATTTATTTACACTATGTGCATAAGAATAAGCGGTAAGGCCTTCTGCGGGACCACGGTCAGATATTATACAGAAACAGAAGTACTCCTACATAGTGCATGTCAATGTGTCCCTAACTCCAATGATCAGAAGTGCAGAAATAAAATGTGTGCGCGCGAGGCGTGAGTGTGTGTGTGTGTGTGTGTGTGTACGTGTGTGTGTGTGTGTGTGTATGCGTGTGTGTATGAATGTGTGTGTGTGTGTGTGTGTGTGTGTATGTGAGTGAGTGTGTGTATGTGTATGTGTGTGTGCGCGCACATGCGTATGTGCCTAGGCGATTATATGACCGTCTAGGTATGTGCGTATGTTTGCGTGTCTGTGGTGTAGTATATCTATACGTGTATGTTGATAAGTGTGCGAGTGTGTGTGTGTTTAGTTTTAGTTTTAGTAAGTTTTTTACGGCACTTGCAACACAATAAGGTCATATACGTGCCGAAGATTAGAATTGTTACAAGAGAGTAACAAACACAAAAAAGGAGTAGAAAAGAAGACGATAGATGTTTGATAGGAAAGAACAAGCAAACCACACCAGAGCACCCG